ACTAACTTATTTATAATAATTATTTAAAATAATATAATCACTATAGCCAGATATGTAATTACAATAGACATGTATAATTATTTTATAATAACTTAAAAACATGTAATATTTTATGGTTAGGTTATAGAATATTTTATTTCAATGTTCTTATGCACAAATTAGTGCAATAATAATAACATAAATTAATATAAATATTGTTTGTAATTAATATATATATAATATTAATGTTAGTACTTTGTTAAAACTTAATTTTAATCAATGTTTCTTATTTATAAACATATTATTTTTGTATTACAAGTGTTTAACAAAAATAATTCATTTTAATACAGTTTAATATAATTAATTTAATTAATCGTTGTACCAAATTGTTCTTATGTACATGATTGATTGTTTAATATATTATTATAATATTTTTGCTACAATGTCCAAACTAAGTGCACACAATATATAAACCACATCAGTTTTATATCATAATTATAATATTCATTAAAATTATTATTTAATAATTAACAATAATGTTTGCCGCAAAATTGATGATGGTGCTTTTTGTCGCCCATACGGCCTACTCCTGGAAACAATCGGATATGGAGTCAGAAGTATGTAATATACAATGCGGTATCGCCCACTGCCCGGCCGTAGACCCAGTCAAGTGCGCCGCCATATACAACGCTATTTACATTAGCCCTCGTAATAAAAACAGTGTCTGCGAGTGTTGCCCAGTGTGTCAAACTAAACCATGTAAGTTTTATAATTATAATATGTATATTTGATGATTTTATGTATATTTAATGTATAGCTGAGGGACAGGACTGTAAACCCGAAGAGGGCTGGAGTAAAGTGTGCGACGAAGGACTCACTTGTCTGGATAGTGGCAAATGCGGTACTAAACGCACGGGATTTTACCACTTTGGATAATCAGATTATATTATTTTAAAACTTTAAAACTAGTTGTTTTATTTGAATTTATGTTTATTTTTAATGAAACTTTAATTGAGCAAATAAAATAATTATTAATCATTAAAGTTTTAATTGCCATACAATAAATATAAAATATTGTATAAGTATTTAACATCATTTATGTTTTTCATGAAATAAATATAAAGCAAAATCATTATTAGTTTGTATTAATAATTATTTAAAAAAAATTATACATTTTGTTGTTATTGTAAATCACATATGGTTGATATTAATTTTAATTAAGTATTAAATCAGTTTTGACTATTCAAAAATGGCATACAAAAACATCTATATATTAATTTTGACTATAATGTTGGCCATTGCGGTGTCAACGGAGAAAAAGTGCAGCATTGTTTGTAGGTCATGCGATAACAATATGACAAGCGCCAAATGTACTAAGTTGAAAGGCACTTACACCGAACGCGAAATCAGTGGCACCAAATGCCCTTGTAAAAAATGTCGTACCTGCACTGTAACTTTATGTAAGTAACCGCGATGGTTTGCATTAGATATATTGTTTAAAATAATTTTCTAATATTGGGGTGTTCATTAATTGATCATAGTGAAAGATTACTTTTGGTTAGAATGGTTGCCAATTTTTTTTTGGTATATGCTATCATATCGATTTAAACACTATTTTATGCACTCATTATTCCTTTTAATTTTATGTAAAAAAAGTTCCAAAATTATTTTAAGAAGTGGTGATTTCACCAAAAAGTTATGGTACCGAGAACATTGAAAAATATGACCTATTTTTGTTTTAAGTTAAAAGCTCTAATAAATAACCCCACATCTACAATATATAAATCTTCGGCGATGTATTGGATACCAACCAATAATATGAATTGCTCAAAAATTTTAAATTAATTGATTATGACCTTAAATATCGCACCCGAACGGCCCGACACCGGGAAGTGGACAATCGCGTGCCACAAGTTCGGGTTGTGTCCGACCCGCGGTTTTCACACATGGAATAGTTGGTCAACTTATGCTTATGCTGGAAAATAATTTGTGGTCATTTAAACCCAAGTGGGCATTTATTCGGAGCGTGTAATCACATACATGTCTAAAATATGCCTAATTTTAGCCTATTTTTAGACCATATTTTTCAGAAAATTACATTAAAAAATTCTAAGGCTTTGGCCGACAAGTTCTCGCACACCCACCATATTCTCCTGTTATTCCACTATCACATGACTTATATGATCATTCTCTGCAGTCATGTTTTGGTGGCAGAAATTGCAAAACAAAAGTAGTGGTTGAAATTGACTTCACTCACTTTGTTGCTTCACAGAACCGCCATTTCTATCGGGAAATAAATGAAACTTTATACGATTATTGCCCAATATTCGCCAATTCAATCGGCTATTACATAATTTGAAATAATTGTTTACTTCATAATTAAAAATTAATTTTAAATTTTCATTACGAGATTATGATTATTTCTTGAACGAGCCAATATCATAATCCAATTTAATATGGCGAATATTGTTTGTTTTTATCATAAAATTTTTAATTTAAATTGCGATTATACCAATCACATACAGTAACTAATCAGAGTCACTATGTAATGATAATTAAATGTTTAACATAATTAAATTTAAATAAATTATTTGTTTTTTTATTATTATATTGATATAATCAGTAAGTTGTTAAAAAAAAATTTAATTTAACATCTAGCTGAAGAGGCACTTTGTGATGTCTCAAGTAAACCCGGAACAGTGTGGAAGTGCGCAGAAGGATTAGATTGTAAGACGCGAGATGGTTTCAGCAATACACGTTTATGTTTGAAGTAACAATAATAGTGGTACATGCATATAAATAAAATAGGCTTGCATATTATTTATTTTGTTCCAAATTTGCTAATAAACACTGAGTTATATATTTTGATATATTTTTTGTAAATGTTTTTAAATTAATATTATAATAAAGCCTATTAATGCAAACAAACAATACATTTTATATTTTCATATATTATGTAAGCTTATATTTGTTATTTTTGTTATGATATAACTTATTTATATATAAATAATTATTAACTGGTTAGTTAGTAGAATTAATTTAAAGCATATTACATCATTGTTAAAAATAATTTTGTGAGTTATATAAAATTTATCAAATTAAATGAATCATTTTTATTATACCTTGTTTGAATGTGCCTCAATGGTATGTAATATACATTGCGGTATAGCCCACTGAATTTTACTACTTTGGATTAAAATAATACAGTGTATTTATTGATAAATTAAACACAATTGCATTTAAGTATAACATTTATTATTTAGCTATTAACAGTACAGACAATCATTTTATCAATGGTATAATAATATAATTCACGTCATTAAATTATTAATAATTAACTTTAACTCGATTTTGTTTATCATGATTGTTTAGTGGATAGACATATTACTTGCGTACACACTCATTAACACTCAGGTCACATCTCAAGCCATCGCCGCACAACTTAACGTAACCGGAATCGGGACTACAATTATCGGCTTCACCTAAAATAAAGGTAAATTAAATTTTGAAAATATTTAAAACATTATCATTAAATATAATAATACAATTAATATTGATTTAAATTACCTAGCACCAATTTGCACGCGGCGCAGCAACGGCACTGATCAACATTTTGCTCCAGGTAAGTTGAATGAGATTTTTTTAGACAATATTGTGCGTTTATAGGCATGCACATTATTTTACGGCACATTTCCCTGCATTGTTCGGGTGTATTAACCGACGACACCGACTGAAAGTAGATTGCGATAAAAAACACTATGGTTAGTTTTGTGGCAAACATGATGGTTTTATTATTTGTTTTAATAATAGTTAAAATTTTAATTCGGTTGTATTTATACTTTTGATCAGTGCATGATATAGTTACTCTTTAAAAATGTTCCGTGGTTATTTTAGTACATTTTATGGCATGTGTAATATTGAGTGCTCGATCGCCCAATGCGTGCCAATGAACGAAACCCTGTGCGCGGCTATACCTCAATCAAAGTACCGCAAATCCATTCCCGACTTTCACGCGTTTCAATGCAACTGTTGTAATACATGCGAAATTGAGTTGGGTGTGTATTCGTGATTTTTATAAATTATTTTTATAATAATAATAATTTTTTATGTAAATGTTACTTTTATATGACTTGTAGCCGAGTACGAGGACTGCGGTGATGAGCCCGGTTATAAAAAAGTGTGCGGCGTCGATCTGGCCTGTGGTTCATACACTTTCCTTTGCGAACATCAATAAAGTTGCAACAATATTATCCGTTTAGCCTTGTTTATCTATAATTTTATTAATATAAGTTAAAATTAAATTCATTTTATCCAGTATTTAGTATGCATAGTTGAAAATAATATAATTCTACAGGTATGTATTTATTAAGCGTAATAAGTATATATACTACGCTCATAGTTATAAATATATGAGCCATTACATTAGTATTGTAATGATTCGTAGATTATTCATAAATAGAGAAATTTAATTTTTTGTGAATCACCTGAAAAACAGTTTACATGTCAACAGTTTAAAAATACTATTACTAAAAACATCTCAATTACTGTTAATCACAGCAATGTCTTTTAATATTTTCCATTTAACCAAATTTTTCATCAGTGTAAAGCTTATTTTATTTAATTAATAATTTCACTTCAGCCTTCAGTGTATTACGCTTAATAAATACATACCTGTATATATTAATTTACATAAATAAATTTTTAAAATTGGTAAAATAAAATTTACTACTTTTTGTGGGTGAAATACGAAGTTAACTTAATTTGTGTAACAGAGACTATAAAAATTATAAAGGTTGGTATTTATATTGTTATAAAATATTACACATATTTTAAAACAATTAATTTCCGTTATATTATTGTTATTTATAAAACCAAATGACTATTAATCAAAAATTGATATTTTATCGAGCACATGTACGTCTGGTTAGAGCGTACCTAAAATATAACTTACATTGTTAAAAATAACACAAAAGCACAACAAGGTTACAGTTAATTTACATTTACCTTCCGAGTTGAACGGTGTATATAGAGAGTGGAACTTGTATTAGTTTTTAATATATAAGTATTAACCAATAATGGCGTACATTTATAGCAATATGTTTATTATGATAATAGTGTTGAGCACTTGTATGTTAACCGTATGGACACAATCCCCGCAAACTCCGGCCCAATGCCGTGATCTGTGTTCGCGAGCGTTCTGTATGAGTGGACCCGAGCGCCAGATCTGCCAACGTATACGTGGGGCCACTTTCCTGGCCTACAATCCCGACAAATGCCAGTGTTGTCAACAGTGCGTGAAATACAGATGTAAGTAATCATGTTGTTTACTTTGTATAATGTGTTAAATATTGCAGTTAAGTATTTAATGTAAACGAATTAGTTATAAATTTACATAAAATTAGGTTTATTTGCTAAATTAAAACTTTTATTAATTAATAAACATAACCTTAATTTAATTATATATATCTAGCTAATTATTATATAAATTAAATTTAATTCATAGTTGATAAAATGTAAATTATTAAATAATAGTAATGAATGTAATAGCTAAAATATTTCAAATACCAATTGTTTGTTTTCCATGTAGCTGAGGGACAAGATTGTCGAGCAGATAATTCATTAGCCCGTGTGGTGTGCGCTCAGGGATTGTTTTGTGATCAAGGTATTCGTTGCGTAGCTACCCGTGTCTAAAAACAAAACATCGTGGTTGTTCAAAAAGAATAAATTTTTATTTGCATTTTATAATGTTTTATTAAATATAAAATTTTATATAAGGATATTTTTTGTTAACTATATTGAATTAATATTGTAATATTGTTAAATATTTATATTCAAATATTTTAAGACTTGTTTATGATATATATTTATAATATACTAGATGATTCCCGCTCCCCTCTACCCTCCCCCCATTAATAAATCAAACTAATACAGTGCAACTTCTCTATAGTGAACGGCCAGTTGCACGGCAAAAGTGTTCATTATAGGGAGGGTTCATCCAAGGAAGGTTCGAGTAAAAATGTTTTATTTTTGATTAATATTTAAAATTATTTATTAATAATTACAATTATTTTAAATAAGTAATTTTAGTTTGTTTAATAGTAATAAAGTGATAATTATATGCTTTAATGTTAATTTTGTCCAATTGTTTAAATGTTTGAGCATTGGATGCGTCTCTAGATATAAAGTAATAATTTATAGTTCACTAATCAGAGAATGAATACACATTTCTTACAATATTGAATGAAACTTTATATAACAATGTTTGTTTTGTTTGCTTAAAGTCTTAGATTAGAAACTATTTTGAATACTTTTAGGAATGATGTGCTTATTATTATATTTGTTCATTATCGGGAGTGAAAGTTTTATCTTAATCTCTATAAATCCGTTCATAATGGGCAGGTATTCATTATGGAGAAGTTCACCCAAGAGAGGTTATTTTAACATTATAAGTATAGGAAATCCGATATAAATTTCAAAACCGTTCATTATG